CTAAATATTTATGTGTCTGGTCGGCCATATTCGTTACATAAGTGAATCTATTGTTCTTTAGCATTTCTGTTTATATGACATTAACCATAGCCCCACAGCTAATGGAAACCGAACCGTGGCTCCAAAACCGTGAACTGAAACGAATCGTGCCTTTAGTGTATCGTTACAGCCCTAATCATTTAGTATCAATTATTTTGGAAATGGGCAAACCAGTGGCGCAGTTGGTAGTGCTGTCGCCTCACAGCAAGAAGGTCGCTGGTTTGAGCCTTGGCTCAGTTGGCGTTTCTGTGTGGAGTTTGCATATTCTCCCTGCGTTCGCGTGAGTTTCTTCCGGGTGCTCCGGTTTCCCACACAGTCCAAAGACATGCAGTACAGGTTAATTGTGTAGGCTAAATTGTTTGTAGTGTGTGAATGTTTGTGTGGATGTTTCCCAGAGATGGGTTGCAGCCGGAAGGGCTTCCGCTGCGTAAAAACTTGCTGGATAAGTTGGCGGTTCATTCCACTGTGGCGACCCCGTATTAATAAAGGGACTAAGCCGACAAGAAAATGAATGAATGAATATTTTGTAAATGTTCTTAAATTAAGAAGTCAACTAAGTGATTGGTCTATGCCGATATCGACCTCCAGAACCCCATTCATGGCGCAGCTACAGTACTGCAAGTGTCATGAATAACCTCTAGACCCTACACTATAGATCTGCCATGCATTGCTTTTATGGTAATGAAACCGTCTTTACGTGGATTGAGCGTCGTTCTCCTGTTTACCGGCTGTGTGAGATTGGGATAAGATGCATCTGGCAGATCTGCAGGCCTTGGCTCCTGCTCAGTTTACAGCGTAAACGTCTTATGACTGTACAAGCTTCTGTGGATGTTGCTTACTCTACGACATTCACACTGATCAAAGATTATCTTGGAGGTTTATTTGTTGTGTTTTGGATGGATGTTGAACTGTCACACATGCATTTGGCACTGCAGTCTTGTAGATGGGACAAAAAGTGCATGCATGTTATGGATCATAGGTAATAATTGACAACAGTTCATTGAATTAATAGAATATAAAGCACACCTGAGGTGGAGATGGGCCACAGTGGGAACCAGAGTTGATGTTGCACTTCAGATGTGCATTATTGTCTAATAATTAAGTGGTCTGGAGTGATTATTCCGGTTATACTCTACTTTGCACAGCTAAATCTGCTGTTGAGAGTTTATTTGTCAGGTTTTTGTCCTCCTCAAACTGCTTTATTAGTTTAATCTAAATGAATGCAAGCTGTTTGGAGATGGTGTGGTGTTTTACATATAGCTGCCCCTTGCACGGCTGGCAGAGCATTAAGTTCTAGAGCAGTGGGTCAGTTAGAAGAGCTTAAAGGCGGGCAGGCATTGCAGGATTTGTTTACTGCAGCAAGTTGACGTGTGAACTGTTTTAAACTATTCCTGAGCACTGTATTTCACGTTTCTAGTGCAAAGATTTTATTCACTCGCACAAATGCTCCCAACTATATTTTGAGGTCGCATAGATTGAATTTCGGGCGCATATGCAACCAAAACGGTCGCAATTTGCCCTGTAAGCCTTGTATTTATATTAATATAAAATTCATTCATTCATTCATTTTCTTGTCGGCTTAGTCCCTTTATTAATCCGGGGTCGCCACAGCGGAATGAACCGCCAACTTATCCAGCAAGTTTTTACGCAGCGGATGCCCTTCCAGCCGCAACCCATCTCTGGAAATCATCCACACACACATACACTACGGACAATTTAGCCTACCCAATTCACCTGTACCACATGTGTTTGGACTGTGGGGGAAACCGGAGCACTGGGAGGAAACCCACGCGACAGCAGGGAGAACATGCAAACTCCACACAGAAATGCCAACTGAGTCGAGGCTCGAACCAGCGACCTTCTTGCTATGAGGCGAACGTGCTACCCACTGCGTCGCCTAATAGAAAGTTATATATTCATATTGAGTGACAACTATTGATAAATGCACTGATTTGGATAACCCTCAATTCAAATGAATGATTTCTTTCTAAATAGAGCTATTCAAGTCATCTGGTGAAAGTGTATTCATATCACAATATACACAGTGCATGCGGAAAGTATTGATAGCGGGAAAGTATTTAGGTCTGGGCTCTGGCTGGGCCACTCAAGGACATTCACTGAGTCATTGTGAGGCCACTGCATTGATATGTTGGCGGTGTGCTTTGGGTCATTGTCCTGCTGGAAGATGAAGCGTCGCCCCAGTCTGAGGTCAAGAAGTAGGTCTTCATTCAGGATGTCTCTGTACATCGCTGCATTCATCTTTCCCTCTATCCTGACTAGTCTTCCAGTTCCTGCTGCTGAACAACATCCCCACAGCATGATGCCAACACCACCATGCTTCACTGTAGGGATGCTGTTCGCCTGGTGATGAGCGCTGCCTGCTTTTCTCCAAACGTAACGCCTGGCGTTCACTCCAAAGAGTTCAGTTTGAGTCTCACCAGAGCAGAGAGTTTAGTTTCTGATGCTCTGAGAGTCCTTCAGATGGTAAACTCCAGGCGGGGAGTGGCCTCCGTCTGGCCGCTCTACCATACAGACGCCTGATTGGTGGATTGCTGCACAGATGGTTGTCTTTCTGTAAGGTTCTCCTCTCGCCACAGAAGAACGCTGGAGCTCAGACAGAGTGACCATCAGGTTATTGATCACCTCCCTGACTAAGGCCCCTCTCCCCCGATCACTTAGCTTAGATGTCCGGCCAGCTCTAGGAAGAGTCCCGGTGGTTTCAAACATCTTCCACTTATGTATAATGGAGGCCGCTGTGCTCATTAGAACTTTCAGAGCAGCAGAAATGTTTCTGTCACCTTCCCCAGCCTTGTGATCGATACAATCCTGTCTCAGAGATCTACAGACAGTTCCTTTGTCTTCATGCTTGGTTTGTAGGGGTGTAACGATACACTCAGCTCACGATACGATGTGTATCACGATATAATGTTCACGATTCGATATGTATCACGATATTTGGAATAAAAATTTACAATTTAACTGAAATGCAAATTTTACCAAGTAAACTATTTTTTATGTATTTCTTTTGTTTCAACTTGTTAAACTGAACCTTCTTTTAGAAAATATATTAAACAGGCCTGTCTCTGGAAAATAAAACAATTTAAAAACTTCTTAAAAAATATTATTGAAATGACAGAGACAAAATTAAGGAACAATATAAGTAAAAGTGCAAAAAAATAAGCTTTCTATTCAATTGAATTTAACAGTAAGAGCTTAAGGCTTTGCTTGGTCACTTTTGTTTTTTCTGTGTGCAAAAAAAAAATCCACATTTCCAGGTAATCAGCAGTTCTATAAGATAATCATGAACTTATGTGTATCTGTCTGAGAGGTTTTTATGGATGGCTGTCTTCATGTTGGGCATGATGAGTGACAGGGTGGCCGTCTTTTCATTACACAGGACAGTCGTGGCTCTTTTCAGCAGTTTAGGCAGGTTTACTATTTCTTCAGCGTCGCTGATGTCGGTGCCGTCAAGTGTATCATGTTGACGTGCATTTTTGTGTACCTCTGTACTCAAAAGGGTTAATGCTCGTCGTATTCATAACTCTAAAATGCGATATGATTGTTTAAATAATGTGTACGTTTTCGGTTTCATTTCCACTGCTAAGTGCTGTTTATACTTCCCACGCGGCTCCTGAAAGATCACTCTGTTCCACAAACTGAATGTTGTTTACTGCTTTATTAGTGACAACCTGCAGGTTCTGTTCACTGAAGCAGACGCGCGCGTATGGCAAGCCGTTTTAGCATTTAAACATTTGTTCTGACTATCCATAAATATATTTAATTCATATTTAATTAAATTCCTTTAGAGATATCTCTAATTATATTTTGACTAGTCGAATTATAATTATGACTAGTCAAAATATAATTAGAGATATCTCTAAATATATTTATGGATAGTCAGATCAAAGGTTTAAATGCTAAAACGGCTTGCCATACGCGCGCGTCTATCATAGTCCGCCCTCTGTAGTAACAGCTCACGTCTTGTGTGATTTTGCGGCCGCCAATACATCATTATATGAAGACAGAATGATATTTTAGGGTGAATTGTACCTTATAAATACAGTATGTGACTCTTTCAACACCATTAGGAGGTATCCATGTCACTGTGCAAAGTATGTAAATCACTGTGAAGACTTTAAAACTTAGGATGTTTGACCCAGTATGCGTGTCAAAAAGCGGACGAGTCTAAAGCAATGACTGTACAACCGAAATGTTGCCAGACGTCTGATTTTGAGAGGATGGGCCATCCTCTATTTCAACTCCACTCATCTTGGTCTGCTAACATTACTGCTGCTGCATTCTGAACTCACGTGTGACAGCAGGTGGAACGTAGCTCACGTGCAAACAGCTCAACTAATAAGAGAAAACGGATGTCATATCGTAATCAAATCGTCATAACGCCACGATGCATATCGAGACATTTTTGCATCACAATAAATCGTACAACGATAAATCGTTACACCCCTATTGGTTTGTGCTTTGTCATGCACTGTCAACCCTGGGCCCTTATATAGACAGGTGTAGCCTTTTCAGATCATGTCCATCAGCTGAATTGAGCACAGGTGAACTCCAATGAAGCTGCTGAAACATCTCAAGATTGATCAGAGGAAACAGAATGAACCTGAGCTCAGTTTAGAGCTTCACGCCAAAGACTGTGAACACTGAACATGTGATTTTAAAGCTTTTTTTATTCTTAAATAAATTTGCAACAATTTCAAAAACTCTTTTTCCACATAGTCATTGTGTGTAGAATGTTGAGGAAATAAAATAATTTAACCCATTGTGGAATAAGGCTGTAACATAAACAAATGTGGGAAAAGTGAAGCGCTGTCAATACCTTCCGGATGCACTGCGACAGAAAAACTAAATATCGCAATGTCAGATGTTTCCGCTATTGTGCATCAGTGCTGTTGGTGTTTTTGTACGTTTGTATGTTGATTAATTTGTGTCTCCTCCTGCAGCGGACTCCCTGACGGTGCGCTCTGTGCCTGAGGGTGTGGTGTCTCTGCAGCCGGGCGCTCCTCTGTCCCTCAGCTGTGTGGTTTCGGGTTTGGGCTCATGGAACCGCTCTGCACTGCTCGTGCAGTGGATGCGGCGAGGCCTGGCGGGTGGTGTGGAGGTGGAGCTAGCGCGGGTCGGGCCTGACGGGGTGGTGCTGTGGGGTGATGATGCCAGCCGGGCGGGCGGAGGCAGCATGGAGCGTGAGGCTGACGGGAAATTCTCTCTGCGTCTGTTCTCCGTTCACCCTGCAGACGCCGGACTCTACCGCTGCGCCGTGAGTGTGTACGCCGGACGGAAAACACCTGGACCGGCCAGCCCCGCTACTGTAACCCAGAGGTCAGATTGGGTCACCGTTAGCCTGAAGACTGAAGGTGAGTGAGGGAGAGGGAGTCGATGAGTAACATTGGCCTTATGTTTATAATGTATATAAATGTTCTAATGATTTAGACTGCTTTATTGTGGGAAACATACACAAATTGTTTACTTCAACAACATAATCGTCATCTGAATTACTTTTTAGTCTTTTGTTTTTTATTTTACTGTTGGACAAGAGTGCTAAAATGATAACCATTTACCTGAAACTAAAGCTTTTTCAGATTTTTTTGAATAATTCGAATTTACGTTTTCAGACGATTTAATTTTGAATCAAATCGGGAAATCGAGATTTTTAAAAAATATATATTTAATACATTATAATGGTACCAATGCGCTTTGGTTCACTCTGTATGAAGCAGGAAGCACACCAGAAGCGCCTCTCGGTGACGCGCCTTGCAGCACCACGATTCAGGACGCAGGTCATATTTCAGCCGCGCCACAGAGCATCATCTGATTAGTTTCATGTTCAATATCATGTGAATGTGCGCATTTGGTGTGTGATAGTTTAAACTGTCATTTGCGCGCCGTGTCGCGGCGCTTCTGGTGTGCGACCTGCTTGATTGGATTTTACTTGTTGCACGTCTGTGTGGATTGTCAAGACATTCCCTCATCAAGTGGATAAACTCGATCTCAACATGTATGAAGGACGAAAAAGCCTGCCATGTGAAAAACCGCGCCAATCTTTTGGTATGAACACGAGTAGAGGTGAGGGACTGTAGCAGTGAAAATGAAAGTAGCCGCACCCATGACGTCATTTAGCGGACCTAGTTGAAAACCAGACAGATCAGGCAGCATAATACAGAGAGTGCAGCAAAGCGCATCAAATGATCGGTATTTAAAAGGTGAAAAAAAATAAAATTCATTAAATATATTATTTTATATTAGACACACATCTGGTGCTTGTATTTACTCTTGCTATAAGTCCACAACTTCACGCATTGGGTTAAATTAGGCTTTACAGTTTCCATGTTCAGTCCTTTTCTTCCACTGTATCTTTTTAAGAAAAGGCAGCAGCTTTACAACCTGCCATTCAATCAGAAGACAAAGTCAAAGCCAATCTTTCCTAGATTTAGCAAAACTTGCAAAAAATCCCTCTGTATTCCTGCAACTGCAATATTTACACAAATATTTCTTATTCAAATCTTCAGCAACGATATTTAACTCGTGAATTTGTTTTACATTTATTTACACCTTGACCGATTTTTGTATGACATGGCCATTAAAAATACAATGTTCCTTAACCAGATAGTTTAAGTTAATTGTAATGAGAATGTTACTTCAGTCATGTTGTTGTAATGTTTTGAAAAGACTAGTAACACAATAAAAAAAAAAATCGAAATCGTGAATTGGTCAAACTTTATAAAAAAACTTGATTTTTTTGTTGCCAAATCGCCCAGCCCTAACTGAAACTATTTCTTGAATTACCGATCAGTTATTGTAATTTAAAATAAGCAAAACAAGCTTTGTTTTATTGGACATTTACAATATATTTATAGAGCTTATTGCTTAATGCATAAATTGCGCAAGAACAGATTAAAACAGTTGTTATGTGAACTTTCTGAAGTAAAAAAAAAGCCTGCAATACTTGCGCCGCCTTTGTGCTCTTCTTATTGGCCCACTGATCTAGAACTGAACGCTAATGATTGGTTAATATCAGTTGTCAATCACTCAGTCAATGCCTTCAGATGACAGGAGCTACAACTGCGAAAATGTGAAGTGCTGAAGATGAGAGAATAAAAACAACACTGACAGATTATGTTTTAGAAACCACCTAAAGTTACTAATAATGGCTCATCTTATCATATGCGTGTGTGCGTGTTTGGATGCATGCATGCATGTGTTTGCTTTTGTACGCATGTGTGCTAGTGTGTGCCCGTGTTTGTGTTTGCCTGCAAGCTTTTGCGTGCATGCATGTGTGTTTGTTTGTGCATGCATGTTTGTTTGTGTGTCCATATTTTGTATGCATGCATGTTTTCGTGCGCATGCGTACGTGCATGTTTTTGTGCATGTATGTTTGGTTTTGTATGCATGTATGTTCGCGTGTGTCTGTGTTTTTGTATGCATGCATATTTTTGTGCATGCATGTTTGCGTGCGAGCATTTGCATCTGAGTGTTTGCGCGTGCGTGTGTGTGTGTGTGTTTGCACGCATGCATGTTTGTGTGCATGTGTGTTTGCTTTATATATATATATATATTTTATATATATGTGTGTGTGTGTGTGTTCTTTAGAGGTTCGCGTGTCTGCTGTTATTGATCTCCCGCGCCGGCCGCTCCTGAAGCGCGGCAGCACCGTCTCCATCTTCTGCAACGTCTCCGTCTGGTCCCGCACTCCCGCACAGGTGGCGCTGGAGTGGCGTCACACACCTGAGGATCCGCTCCAGAAGGACAGATCAGTTTCTGTGGACAGTAAAGGACGAGTTCTCGCGGTGCTGACCCGCGATGGCCTGACGCGCATCTACAGTAACGGCAGCGATCTGAGTGTGGAGCGAGTGTCAGAGATCTGCTACCGGCTGCGGGTTTTCTCTGCCGATCAGCCGGATCAGGGACTCTATCAGTGTGAGGCGCAGGTTTGGGCTCAGGATCCTCGTGGCGGATGGTACGACACCGGAGTGAGAGCCGAGTCGACCACCGCACGCCTGTATCTATACGCACGAGGTCAGTTTACTCACATTTTATTTGCTCACCTTTAAGTATTCCAAACCTTTCCTCTGTTTACACAAAAGAAGATATTTTGAAGAATGTTGAAAACCTGTAACCATTGACTTGCATAGTAGTTAAAATAATTAGTATGGAAGTCAATGGTTACACCTTATACTTGTTTCAAACCACTTGTTAATCACAAAGGAAGATATTTTGAAGAATGTTGAAAACCTGTAACCATTGACTTACATAGTAGGAAAAAGAAATAGTGTGAAAGTCAATGGTTACACTTTATAATTGTTTCAGACCACTTGTTAAGCCTGCTTTATACTTCTGCGTCAAGTGACCGGCTGAGTCCCACCCAGACTCGTCAGCGCTACCAAGCCGACTAGTCACAGAGCTTGCGCTACGTGTCGTTGCGACGTGTACATTTTTTGAGAGGTCACTAATGTGCACGCCGACAGCCACGGCGTAGGGCTATGCGTCAACGCGAAGGCTGCGGCGTAGCATGCGCTTGTGTTTGACGCAGAAGTATAAATCAGCCTTTAATAACAAAGGAAGATATTTTGAAGAATGTTGAAAACCTGTAACCATTGACTTCCATAGTAGGAAAAAGACACAGTAAGGAAGTCAATAGTTACACTTTATACTTGTTTCAAACCTCTTGTTAATCACAAAGGAAGACATTTTGAAGAATGTCAAAAACTTGTAACCATTGACTTGCATAGAATGAAAAAGACGTAGTATGGAAGTCAATGGTTACACTTTGTACTTGTTTCAAACCATTGAGTTACTTTTTTCTGTTAATTACAAAGGAAACTACTTTGAAGAATGTTGACAATTTGTAACCATTGAGTTGCATAGTAGGAAAAGCAAATATTATCAAAGTCAAGGGTTACCGGTTTACAGCTTTCTTTATAATTTATCTTCCTTTGTGATTAACAGAAACAAATAAACTTCTAAAGGTTTAAAACGACTGTAAAATGAGTAAATGAGGACAGAATAATATAGATGTTTTGGTGAAGCCCTTCTAAAATATAAGAAGGGCATCTATACATAACCTTCTTTTAAGTTATGCAGCATACAGAATTACAGTTGAAAGCAGAAGTGTACATACACTGTATAAAAGGCACATGAGCATTTAAATAAAGTCAGATGTTAATGTGACTAAACCTGTTCTCTTTTAGGTAAGTTAGGATTATTAATGTGTTTCTGTTGTGCTTAATAGCAGAATAATGAGAGAGATATGTATTGAGAAATTGTTATAACTCTTCTTGGAAGTCAAGTTTACACACAATAAGATTATTCTGCCTCTGGAAAAGCTCAGATGATGATGTCAAGCTTTTGGAGGTTTCTGATTGGCTAATTGACAACATTTGAGTTAATGTGAGGCACAACTGTAGAATAGTGTTGAAGGAAAAGCTCAAACACACTGCTTCCTTGTGTGACAACATGAGAAAATCAACAAGCCAGAATCAACAACAAAGCCAGATTACCATTAGCTGAATTACACTGGGGAAAGACTCATGTTTGGAGACATGTGCTGTGCTCTGATGGAGCTGAGATTGAACTGTTTGGCCATAATGAGCAGTGTTACATTTGGAGGACAAAGGGGAAAGCGCACAAGCCTAGCAACACCATCCCAACTGTGAAGTATGGGGGCGGCAGCATCATGTTGTGGGGCTGTTTTGCTGCAGGAGGGACTGGTCCACTTCACAGCATAGATGGCATCATGAAGACAGAACATTATGGAGAAATACTGAAGCAACATCTCAAGACATCAGCCAGGACATTACAACTTGGCCACAAATGGATCCTCCAAACACACCATGACCCTAAACACACTGCCAAATGAGTTCAAATGTGCTTTAAGGACAACAGAGTGAATGTTTTGGAGTGGCCATCACAAAGCCCTGAACTCAATCCTATAGAAACTTTGTGGGCAGAGTTGAAAAAGCTTGTGCGAGCAAGACAAGCCAACAAATCTGACTCAGTTACACCAATCCTGTCAGGAGGAATGGGCCAAAATTCCTGCAAACTATTGTGAGAAGCTTGTGGAAGGAGACCCAAAACATTTGACCAAAGTTATACAGTTTAAAAGCAAAGCTAAAAAATACCAAGAAAATGTGTGTAAACTATTGACTGTCAAGAAATTAATAACAAATTCTCTCATTATTCTGGCATTTAGCAAATGTAAATCATTGAGGTAATCCTAACAGACCTAAAATAGTAAACGTTTAGTCTGATTTACCATCAGAGAGTTTTGTAGAAATGGATATGTTCCTTTTTTATAGTGTATGTAAACACCTGGTCTTAACTGTATATGTGAACTTGTAATTATTAATAAAACGCATTCTTAAAGGACAAGAACTCACTTTAGCATTGTTTTTGATAAACATGTTCTCTTGGCATGTTTCTTAAATCTCTGCAAACATATTACAGATAGACAGACAGATAGAAGACTGGTTTGACTGACAACACTTCTGTTTTCTGCAGTCACGGATCTGCTGCTCATCCCGCTGGTGGTCGGCGTTTCGTCTGCACTATTTGTGGGAGTTTTAATAATCGCGACGGTGACCTGCTGCTTCATGAAGAGACTGGCTAGACAGCGCTCACGTGTGCGGAAATAACACACACACACACACACCAGACTCTAAAAATTCAGTGACTTGAACAGATGAAGAAATCGGGTGTAACACAGGTATTTGTGCATTATAGATATGAATGATGGTTATGCCGTACGTGGACGGCAGCAGATGCATCAACACAGACACATGTAGGTTCACTCAAGCTGTGATTATAGTGATTTGCACTGTTTCTGCTCTCTAATGTTAATGAAATGGGATAAAAACCACTCTCACAGGGTTTAATACAGATAAATCCTCAGACTTCCAGCACTGACATCACTGTCTGTCATTTATATCAGTTCCCAGTGGTGTAAATGTGCATGTAATTCAGTGTGAGATGAACAAAATGCTCGTTGCTATGAAATATTTTTATGGCACTTTCTGCCATTTGGATTTTCACGTTTCCCACTCTTTTGTGCTCTGACTGAAAAACTGCCTGTGTTTTATTTGTCACAGTGACGTGTTTTTGTAGTTACTTCTTGAGTCTTACATTGTGAAAGATAAATTTCACAAAGAAATGGCCTCATCGTGTTTTATCCCCAAATCTCAAGACACAAAATATGCATTTCATTTTATTTTTGGTTTATTCTATTTTAGTTTATTTTTATTATTTTTTTAAATAGAAAATGTGGATAATATTTTATTTTAAGGAAAATAATAATGATGTTGCTATTATTATTATTATTATTATTTAATACTAGAAAAATATAGTGATGATATCATTAATAATTATAATAATTATCATTATTATTTAATAAAAGAAAAATATGATAATGATGATGAAAATAATAACAATATTAATAATTATTTATGTTACCATTTGTTATTTTGGATAAGTTGCTTGATATTTTTAAGGAAGCTGTCCTTAATAATAGTTGTTGTTGTTGTTAGTATTATTATTATTATTTAATATAAAAATTATGACAAATATTATTAATAATAATAATTGTTATTATTATTATTTATATATTATTGTTATTTTGGATACTTTGCTTGATTTTTTTTAAGGAGGCTATTCTAAATAATAATTGTTGTTGTTGGTATTATTATTATTATTTAATATAAAAAATATGATAATAATGACGAAAATATTAATAATAATAATAATTATTATAATAATAATTGTTGTTATTATTATTGATATAATATTATTGTTATTTTGAATACTTTGCTTGATATTTTTAAACAAACTGTCCTAAATAATAGTTATTATTATTATCATTATTTAATTTTAGAAAAATATGATGATGATGATGATAATAATGATTATTATTATTATTATTATTATTATTATTATTACTATTATTTAATATAAAAATAGGATGAAAACAATAATATTAATAATATAATATCAATAATAATAATATTTTGGTCCATTATTAGCTTATTATTTTTGTTATAAAACAGATATAAGATTTTCTATTTAATTTCTAATGCATCCTACCAATAGATTTATTCCTAAATCTAACACAAACACACACACACACACACACACACACTTTGTATGTTTGCATAATATTTTCACTCGGATCAAGCAAATCTACAGCCCAGATGCCAATTTTCTATTTTTCACGTGTGAAATTTGTCCAGTCTGGATATTTGTGAATTTTTTTAATATACTTTATGGTACATTTCAAATGATTGTCATGAATTCAGTGCAGCAGATTCAGCGTTTACAGCAAATGTAATGCTAAAAGTCCTACATTATTTTTGTAATTAAAAGGTACAACAGTTAAAAACATGTCTAGTTTTTTAGCATTAGAGTAATTAGTCATTTTAAAATATTTGTAATATTATTTTAGAGTGAAATAGGCCCCGGACTGTATTATTTTTGTCTTTTTTTTTGTTTGTGAAATTCATTTGAACACAATAAATATAAGAGCAAAGTGACGTGTTCAGACATCATCTAAATAAGCTATGAGGAGTCTGCATTTCATCATCTTACCTGCACACTCTCTAGCAAATCAAACAACAAATTTATTACACTTATTATTGAATTCATTAAAACAAAACCACTTTACCTTATGAAGACACAGAAGAGTCTGTTTTACATATAAATCTAAATCTGCTGGATCACACAAACAGCAATCCCATGCCGATTACTCTTCACTCACAGGACCAAATCTGTCTGTTGTCTGAATGTTTTATTGTTATCTCAGTGTTTTGTGTTTCGGGTCATTCTAGAAAACCGGTGCCTTTTGTTTATGTTGTTTATGCATTAATATTTGCATAATTTAATAATTAATAAATTTAAAAAAAAAAATGTAAATTGTGCTGAATATAAAATGCTCTGCTATTCCCTGCCAAGGATCAACAATCGTCTCCATTTTAAATGAATATGTTATAGTTTGATGGTGTGAGGTTTCTCACGTGAACTTTTTGTTTAGTAAGTTGTTTTTAATAATGAAGAAAACTAAAATATCACTCACTCGCATGGTTATTATAAATTATAGCAATGACCTAAACACTTTTTTACATAAAATGTTAATTAGTTCAGCTAGTTAGCAAGGAAAATGTGTTTAATTGTCATTTATTTTATCTTCAAAATAACTGAAATAGGTCATGAAATAGTAGTATTTTTTTACTTTTTATAAAATTAAAAATAATGATAAAATGAGGAACAACATAACCAAATTATTTTCATTGTTGTCTTTAAAATGTTATGACTTTAATAAATGTTAAATTTATATTGAATAATATAAATATATTGAGTCTTTTCTCAACGTGGACCTGTTTAAAAACAAAGAAACATTTATTTAATTGCCCAATAAGCATTTTGTATTTTCTGCCAGTTAAATAACTGAATAACAACAGCAAATAAAAAATAAAGTGATGAAAAGTAAACTAAAGGAAATAAAATGTATAGGATTCTGACATTTAAAAGAAGTAATAAAAGACTATAAAAAAACTAAAATTAAGACTAAAACTAAGACAAAAACTAAAGACTAAAATATCAATGAAAATTATTTTGAAAAAAGGCAGTAGTCTAAATGAGACCCAAGGATGCAGACATGTATAAAAACATTAACCTAATTGCCAAAAACAATTTGTATTTTCTGCCTGTTTTAAATAACTGTAAATAAATAAACAAAGTGACTAAACGTCAAATGTAAAAAATAAAATGTAAAGAATTTGGACATTTAAAAAAGGAATAAAATGAGGGAAAAAGCCTCAACATAAATAATAATAAAAGGACAGTCATTTCTAAATGAGACCAAAGGATGTGGAAATGTAAATAAACCTAAACAAATAAAAAACATACATTTAATTGACCTAGTTGCCAAATAACATCTGTAGTTTCCGCCAGTTTTAAATAACTGCAAAAATAAATTTAAGAATTAAATATATAATAAATAATAGTAAAAAAAAAAAGTACAGTTGTTTTTAAATGAAACCAATAAATCAAACAAAAAGCACTCATTTAATTTACCTAATTGCCTAATATTTAATAACTGAATAATAAATGCAAATAAATAAAGTGACTACATTTTCTTTTCTTTTTTAGTTTTACTTTATTTATTTATTTCCAGTAATTATTTAGTTATTTGAAACTAGCAGAAAATACAAATGTTTAAGTAAGTTAATTTATTTTTTATTTTAAAATGTCCACATCCTTTGGTCTAATTTACGAATTTTTGGACTTTTTATTAATATTTGGTACTGCTTTATTACAATGGTCCATTTGAGTATTAGTAGACTGTCTGCTTAATATCTGCTGATGCTGCTCCTTCAACACATTTAACTGACTATAGGAAACTTTGCAAGTACATGTCAACTCACACTAACCCCAACCCCAACCTAACAGTCTACTTATAATCTAATGAGCATTAGTTGGCATGTAGATGCAATGTAACTTACACTCAACAAACGGACCATCAATATAATGTGACACCTAATATTTTAGTATTTAATATTTTGTTTAATATTTTTATTGCCTTATTTTGTAAATCCTTTACGTTATTATTTTACTTTTAAAGAATTTGGACATTTTAAAAAGCTTCAGATTTTTAAAAGTCTCGACTAAAATAGCAATAAATATTTACAAAAAAGTACAGTCGAGACCTCAAAACCCTTCTTATATAACCCTTAATGTTTTTAAAATAAATATTCGTTTAGCTTTAGATGGTGCAGTCTGCCATTGTCTTCTCTAAGTGTCATTTATTTTAAATCCACCTGTTTGACAGAATGACCCGTGTGTGTTTCATTTTCATTTGCACAGTTTATACTGCGGTCTTCGTTGTGTAAAGCAGCAGATCTGTGTGTGTTCTTCAGCATCACTGAGCTCAGTTCTGTGTTTCATGGAGATTCCTGCATTTCCTCTGGGATTGAACTCTTATGAAAGCCACATTAATGTCATCAAAAGGAGGATTCTGTGCTTATTTACAGTGTTCAGACGCTGGAGTCTGATTTATCCTCTTATGCCATGTGACCGACCGCTGAATGACGGTCAGTGAGAGAATATTCTGTGGATATTATTATTATTATTACTAATAATCCTCTTGTTTTTGCTTGTTGACTTGACTTTCAGATGCTAGCTCTTTTCTTTCTCACGTGTCCGTCAGTTGTGCATGTTGTTCATGAATGCATTCAGGACTCACTGTGGGTTGTTTGGAATCAGACACATGCTCTTTCTGTGCGCATTATGCAGTGATGCTGTTTTCTCTTGCACTGTGGTTTTGTTTTGGTCAGTGGTTTCATTGTCTGCTTCAGTTTTTGTGTTGATGGTGCTTGAAGATCCTGAATAAAACATGCCGTGATCCCAGACAACATCCCAGGTTTATTGGAGTGATGCTTTAAAGCTACTGTCGAATATCAACATCAGCTCGAGCGCTGTGGGACGTGATGTTGCTGTGTCCAAATTCGCCTACTCACCGTTGAAGTCAGATTTATTAGCCGTTTTGCCCCAGTTTTCGTTTAAAGGATAGAAGATTTTCTTTAACACATTTCTAATCCTAATAGTTTTAAAGGGCCACAAAACCCTGTTTTTTTATTTTTTCATTTTATTCATGCTTCATTCAATGATCTGAAAAATGAACATCGCTGAGGAACAAGCGCATTGTGGAAAACTTCCTCTATTTTAATTATTTTCGGAAATAAGCTGCTTCTGTTTCTCCGCCGTCTTCATCTTTTTCTGCATTTTGCTTCCGCTTTTCTGCTGTCATTTTGAAATTTGAGCAACTTTTATTGTTCTTCTGTGATGAATTGAGTTCTTCATTTCAATGTTGCTTCTGCTAAATAAAGCTATAAAGCTTCTGCTAAATAGCTTCATGTCAAAATATTCTAAGTCTCGAAGTCAAACCTTTCAAAAAATGACAGAGTCTGAGATCTCCGAAGTCTTTAGGCAAAGCAGTTTATTGTTCAGGGCTCAACAATAAGCACCGCCCAATGGCCCGGGGCCAGCGTGAGAGATGTTCGGGACAGTAGAGAGAATCGTTACTGGCCCGATCAGGCCAGTGCTGCCTTGTCACTAAATTTTAATTTGCCTGCGACTATTTGTCAATTGCTTGCAACTACAGTCTTAGAATCGAGAAACAATTTGTGCTTTTAAAGGGCCATGAAACCCACTCGTTTCAGCAGGGTGTTTTCACACCTCTACTTTGGAAAAAGTCAGAAAAGTGGGCGTGTCCAGCTCTGTTTAGGGGGGAGTGTCAGAGGAAGAATAGTGGGATGGTGTGGGAGTGTTGCAAGCGTGCAGTGTTGCTTTCATAATTTGCTGAAGTGAAGTTTTGTTTTCATTTTCTCTCTGTGAGAGCGCAGCTGGAGTCACGTGTGGATTAACAGTGTACGCGACGCTCGACAATAGCTTGCTTGTCTTAGGAACATTGTTTACCCGTGAGCTTTTCTCATCTGCAAACGCTGAGATCCGGATTCGCTGCTCGTCTCCTCTTAATAAAGACGCGGCTCTAGTTGCTGGTGATTGTCCTGTCTCTACAGATTTGGTAAGTGAGCGATCAGTGCTCTTTGTTTATTCAGTTTGTTCGTATCGAACTAAGTTAACTATTGCACCGAGTGTAAACATGTTAGCACCACAACCAAACTTTACCCTCGTGTAGGATTTTCACCACATTTTGTGACCGGAATAACACACGCGGCTTTCTGACACTACCTGCCGAGTGCATCCAAGTTACAGAGAAATGCAGAGTTTATTTTTTTCTCTCATTCGCCGTGCGGTATCAAACATTGCATGAAAAATACACTCTTATAGCAGTTCCTCGAATCAAATATCTCGTTTGTCACAAGGGGCATGACTGAATTCCCTGAATGAAAGAGCCAAACTGCAGTTAAAGTCCAACATTTAATAATTTGGCAAATAATTCGACTACAGATGTCCATGTAAACACAGTCACTTTCTCCCCTGTGTGTGTGTGTGTGTGTGTGTGTGTGTGTGTGTGTTTTGACTCTGAAGCGCGTGCCCAAATAGACGCTCCCACATCATCCCTCTTTTGCTCCTCCGACACTCCCCCCTAAACAGAGCTGGACACGCCCACTTTTCTGGCTTTTTCCAAAGTAGAGGTGTGAAAACACCCTGCTGAAACAAGGGGGTTTCATGGCCCTTTAAATCTCTCAGGTGCCCGCCACCAATAAAGTCTCAGGGTCTTTCAGGGGTCTTACCCATGTCCAGATACGGTCTTTCTTTCTTGTTTCAAAAGCGATGACTCAGCCTAAAAACAATGCTCAACAATTTATCTCGTTCACTGTCCACTGAGCTGTCAACTGTAAGTACAGCTGAAGTTCACGGGTACTCATAATTTTTAGTAGTCATTACAAATGAGTGTGGGCACATGTGCAGGTGTGCCTTATCATGAGTTACCGAACAGAACCCAGGTGTCCTTATGGCCTTGCATCCATAAATCTACCCTCATTGTGACATTAATGCTGCTCTCCT